CCGGATCCTGCAGGATCCGGGATGTTTGGAGCTCTGGGAATGTCGGAAGGAGACGGGAGGTGGGGATGCCGAGAGTTCCCGGGGGGGGCGGATAAACCAGAGGGAGGCGGGGATGCTGCGAGCTCCGGAGGGGCCCGAGCACCCGATCCTGGGGTGCTGGGAGCCCCAGGGATGGTGGATAAACCCTTGGGATCCAGGGGTGCTGGGAGCCCCAGGGATGGTGGATAAACCCTTGGGATCCAGGGGTGCTGGTGAGCCCCAGGGATGGTGGATAAACCCTGGGATCCAGGGATGCTGGAGCCCTGAGGGTGCCCAAGCTCCAGGATCCAAGGATACTGGAGCCCCAGGGGTGCTGGGAGCCCCAGGGGTGCCCAAGCTCCAGGATCCAAGGATGCTGGAGCCCCAGGGGTGCTGGGAGCCCCAGGGGTGCCCAAGCTCCAGGATCCAAGGATGCTGGAGCCCCAGGGATGCTGGAGCCCCAGGGGTGCTGGGAGCCCCAGGGATGGTGGATAAACCCTTGGGATCCAGGGGTGCTGGTGAGCCCCAGGGATGGTGGATAAACCCTGGGATCCAGGGATGCTGGAGCCCTGAGGGTGCCCAGGCTCCAGGATCCAAGGATGCTGGAGCCCCAGGGGTGCTGGGAGCCCCAGGGGTGCTGGGAGCCCCAGGGATGCTGGATAAACCCCTGGGATCCAGGGATGCTGGTGAGCCCCAGGAATGGTGGAGCTCCAAGGGATGGTGAACAAACCCCTGGGATCTAGGGATGCTGGTGAGCCCCAGGGATGCTGGTGAGCACCAGGGATGGTGGATAAACCCTGGGATCCAGGGATGCTGGAGCCCTGAGGGTGCCCAAGCTCCAGGATCCAAGGATACTGGAGCCCCAGGGGTGCTGGGAGCCCCAGGGGTGCCCAAGCTCCAGGATCCAAGGATGCTGGAGCCCCAGGGGTGCTGGAGCCCCAGGGGTGCTGGGAGCCCCAGGATCAGGGGCTGCTGCAAACGCCAGGGATGGTAAAGAAACCACCAGGACCCAAGGATGGTAAATCCCTGGGATCCAGGGGTGCTGGAGCCCTGAAGATGCCTGAGCTCTGGGATGGGAAATGAAATCCCCTTGGACCTGGGGATGGCAAATCACGGGGACTCAGGGCACTGCAGGAACACGGGGGGGCTGAGCTGGAGGTGACCGGGGGCCTGGGGAGCAGATCCTGGGGATGAAACCCCACTGGGAATTCCAGAGCGGTGGGACACAGCCCGGGGATGTCACACACCCAGGGTCACCCTGGTGACCCTGCTCAGCCCCCCGGGCTGTGACCACATGGACACAAAGACAGGGGGACAGGGACCTTGGTGGCACCAGGAAGGTCCCTCCCTGGCCCAGCAAGGCCCAGGCGGGAGGCCGGGAGGGACACGGGAGGGACACAGGAGTGAGTGACACAGGAGGGACACAGGAGGGACACAAGAGTGAGTGACACGGGAGTGACACAGGAGTGAGGGACACAGGAGTGAGGGACACAGGAGTGAGGGACACAGGAGTGAGGGACACGGGAGGGACACAGGAGTGAGTGACACAGGAGGGACACAGGAGGGACACAGGAGTGAGTGACATGGGAGTGACACAGGAGTGAGGGACACAGGAGTGAGGGACACAGGAGTGAGGGACACAGGAGTGAGGGACACAGGAGTGAGGGACACAGGAGTGAGGGACACAGGAGTGAGGGACACAGGAGTGAGGGACACAGGAGTGAGGGACACAGGAGTGAGGGACAC